CTAACTAGGCGACACTAGAAATAACCAGCAAACACACCTTGTATAACTGTGAGAAAGAATAGAATTCATTTTCAAAAGAGAAGCTAATATGAAGAGAACATTACGCAACAGAACTCAACTTCTTCCTTTTATCAAGTAAACGCTGAACAACCCGTACATCTCTTGAAAGAAAAATCAAAAGCTGAAGCACAAAAACATCAGCAATAAAGATATAAGGCCATAGTAAATTCGAAGCTCCAACTTATCACTATTATTATTTCAGTGGTCTGGAATGCACAAAATCGAACACAGAAAAAATTCGTCTAAATATAATCATAGATAAGATAAGACGAGGTTAACAAAAACTTCCTATCGTCAACTTCAAAAAGTTCATTTAAAAAAGGACTAAAAAATGTCTTTAAAAGTCCGCACGGATTTCACCACCAACCAAATGGATGCCACCGATACATGGTCAAACCATTGATAAAATTACCGATAAATTTGAACAAGCAGAACGGTTCAAAATTCGAATTCGGATAAACTACGCATTATAATTACTTGAGTATGTGATCAGAATAAATGACTTTCTAGTGTGTCCTAAATCTGAAAATCTGGAGGCTGAACCGACTTCTGATAGCTCTCGTCATCATCATTACTCTTGGAGTGCAGACTTGCCGTTTTTAGGGAAGAGTTATTACTCGGAGCATTTAAAGCGACCATACCGATAGCATAGTCTTCAGACGCTCCTTCATCAGTGTACGACGAGGCAATGTCACCTGCAATAACTACTCGAAGAAAGAATTATTAGAACAAAAGTCTGCATTTTAAGGAAAACCATAAGTAATTGAGAAGAATGAAAAATAACACGAACTGGAATTGAGCCAATGGTTGCATCAATTTCCCTCACATATTTGCATTACGACCTAATGAAAGTAATTTTCTAAAAACATGTGTAGAGAACATTCTCCGTAGGTGTTCTCTATCTTTAATCCTACCATATGTCTTCCATATAGGTTGTGTACTTCTTCTAGCTACTTACTCCTGTCATAGAATCTACTACATTTCAAATCACTTGACAGAAGACCAGGATGCTTGGCCTACAACCACACCTTTCCATAACCACCGCACAAGGTAGGATTAGGATTTATGATGGACCTTCATTCATTCGAAACACAACAAGCGTAGCGCTATTCATAATTGTTCGCACCCCACAACTTCTTCTTTGCTTTTATGAAACACACTTTTTTGGGCTATCTCTTCATATTGGCCGTGCTTCACTTTACACTTCACAACTCATAAATCTAGTGTACAAGCCATAACGTTATTGCTAGTGCAAATCTTTAGGTAAGCTGCTTATGGCTACTAAACCATCTTACTATGTTTATCTACTTCTTGTGTTAATATCAAGTATATAGAGATTTAATTACCCAAGCCTGAGGTTGAACCACCTACCTTCAAAATTTAGCACAACATTGTAAATTAAAGAGCTGCGCAGTAGGATCACCACAACAGTAGCAGAACTTTCACTTTAATATGCCTAAGAAACCGAAAAAACCACAGTTAACAATTACGTGTTGGTATACACTTTCAAAAATAGAACATTATACGTGATGTATCAATTGCGCTACACTCAAAAGTAAACCAAACGTCTACTGAACGTACCATGAGCAGAAGCTCCTAATTGCGTCAGCGAGGACTCTGATGAAGCGCTTGGAAATACTTGCATCTTCTCGTTACCATTATGCAAAACGGGCGGCGGCTTTACCATCTAAGTTAAAATGGCGAGTATAAATACTTTAAAAATTTATACACTGTAAAGTATACAACGGTAAACAATAATAGAAAATGCGAGAGAAAGGAGTCTTCCTTCTAACAATCATTTTAATTTCCTCATAAAGCATGCAACTAATCATTGTTAATATACCGCTATATTTTCACAGGTTTCAAACACTACATTAGTAAATTATTACTAATTCAGCATTTCGATTTAAAAAAAACGCGATTATGAGAAAAAAAAAACAGGTAGGCCTTTTGCTCTTCGCTTTCTCAGTTTGCTACGTCGCACTTTAAAAATCTAGTCAGATTTTAAGAAGTGAATTATTTTCAAAATTTTTCTTGAAGTCACTAAATTCTTGCTCACCAATGTTTAATATTTAGTCTCATGTTTGTCATTTTGCTGACCAGCGCAACAGGAATAAAAAAAAACGTTTTCTAATGAAAATGCAGTTCTTATTTTCACAAATGCGAAGCAAACTCTTTAATCCGGACAAGACTTGTCGCTCAAACGGTCCAGTTGAAACCACTATTCTTTGTGATTTTAAGCAAATATTGCAAAAAAAATGTTAATAAAACATCACTGTAAGACTTCGGATAAATTAGAAAGTACTGAGAAACACTGGTTGACAACGAAAGGAATAGTAGAAATTAATTTCAAAATATCATTCAGTTCAAACTACCTCACCAGTGCTTCATTTACTTGCTGCTCCACTTTGGCCTGACCATTCTTTTGTGATTGCTGTTCTATTGCTTTTCGTCTCTCTTCTCTGTCCATATACCAGATAGTAATGGCGAATCTAAGACATTCTTAACAATTAAGAATGAATTCTTCCTGAACGAAAATAAATCGCCAAAAAGCGACAGAAAGTTTTAGTTTTTTTAATCGGCATAAAAAGTAAAGCATAAAGCTCTCGGCGTTGATCAATCCATGAAATATGTGCCATGTTTTCGCCTTCATCGAGCAGATGATTGAATTCATGTATGGCCTACACGGTGACTAGCCGTGGCCTACCGATGTATCTAGTCGGTGCTGCTATCTTCCAGACAAGTCAGGTACTAATTCGCCGACCCCGAAGGAATGGAAGGCTTGGTAAGCATGGGGCACGGAGATGGATCCCATATGTATTGCAGAGCACCTCCGACCACTCCACTACATGCTCTAGTCTTTACGAAGCAATAATATAAACCAATAATTCATTTCGCTCTTAATATTTCATTTGCATCTACCAGTAAATATTCACTGACTAACAACCCAAAAAACCGACTTTCTATAAGATTCGGCATTAATTACTAACACATGTAATTCCTACGATCTGCCCTTGTTGAAATGGTTTCACAGCTCACAAAACGGCTATGAAGAAAGCGAAGCGGCCAAAACGTCAGTCGCCGACTCACATCAACAAATCATACGAACCTCGAATCAGTTCGACATGGACAGGTAATAAGATTTAGTGCTTACATCGTTGCTGGGTTCTATATTAAAGCTTGATTTTAATAGAACTATTTGCAGCGCAATCTTCTTTCTTAAACAATTTAGATGACCTCACGCTGCTTTAAACGATGATCTCAAGGTTAAAAAAACTATCGTATAACTGTACGCATCAGCTGTTGATGGCGATCACCTGCAGCCGACAATCGAAACTTAAACTTTAAATACTACCCCCGTGGGTGAAAAGGAATTCAATGCTTGATGTAATAAAATAACACGAACTAGATGATTACAAAAAGGAAAACTTCATTATGAATCATGACGTCCACAACGCGCTTTCTCTTCACAGAAAAGTCGGTCGAGTTCTCAAACGCATACTGATGTGGGTAGAACACTTCGCAAAGCAGCAATCTTCTCTACGATAAACAATGATGAAAACTGCTTAATGATCAGGGACCACGATAGCACAGCTATTTAAGTTTCCAGGAAAAAATTTTGCTAAAATAGGATACAAAATGGTAGTAATAATAAATAAATCAAGATAGCACAGATTCAATTTGCAGCCGAAACCATGTACAAGCTCAACCACCTTCAGCTATACAGGTTATAAGAGAAGCTGCTACTAGCATAGCTTGTGAACATGGATCACCTAAGTGCCTATGTAAAAATAATGAACTTTTAATTTGTTGGTACGAAGGTTTTGATTTTAAGCGTTCTCAAATTTATTGACACTATTGGGCTCGTGGGGTAGTTAGAGGTGCTCTGTAATATATATTGGTTTTGTGCCACGCCTCAGGTTCACCAATCCTTCCAACTGAGTAAGGTTGAAAAAATTGCACCTTAAATGGCTAGGAGAATAGCAGCACTAAATAGAAACATAGCGAGGTCACCGCAACCCTTTTACAGGAGAAATATATATTCGGTCACCTCTGCGACGATTGATGACGTCGAATTGATGGCGCACGCTTCAGGGGTTGATCAACACTGAACCCTTTTACTGAAAACAGGTCACATCATACCCTGCCGTAAAGAATATTAGTAGGCATTAAAAAGAATGCTAACATTGCGATTTCGACTACAGCCTCAGCTTAACTGGGTTTAATGCCGATTTGTGCTCCCGGATCAAACCCGTTCAAGCGTGACTGCTGATGGCAGCGTCAGGTAGAAAACTGGTCGAGAGAAAGGCACAACGAGGGCCTCAGTGGTACCGTGCGTGACACTTGAATCCCCAGAAAGGCTAATCGTGATCCGATCTAGTCTGAGATGCTAGTTTTGTGAATATCTCACCATTATAGTCGTTGTACTTTACATCACATCCTGCCGTTAAAAATATTAATAGGCAGTAAATAAAATGTTAATAGGTCACTATTTTAAATCAACCTAACATATTTGTAATGGAAAGACGGCATATATGAAAAAGAAACCCATGAGATACAACAAACAGTAAATATTTAGTCATAACAACCGTATTTTTTTAATTGTTTCCTACAAATATTTGGCCTTTCATCATTGGTGAGAGTCTTCCCAGATGTCCACTTGCAACAGTGGCAACGCAGCACTGGTTCATCCCCGTGCGAGGTCACTAGCTCAACAGTGTAGCATTTTATTATGCAAGTCGAGCTAACAGTGCAATTATTTGTAAAGTGCGACTATTCTCGAGGAAACTTCGGCGTGAACTGGAAGAATTTCTCTTCAGTTCGTAAAGTTTGGCTACTTCAGGTGGTGACGATTTGGGAATGCTCATGAATGGCTGTCTCAGTACCATATTTTCTCTTGGTCAAGTCATCCAAGTTTCAAGCACCAAATTTAAGACTTTCTAAGTGAAGCCCTTTACTAAGACTATCAATAATGCAAAAATAATTTCCAACCTCGGTCTATACACCGGCATCACTTCGTGAGGATTACGCCTGTCAGACCAAAAAAACACAAGACGATCAGCCTTCGGATCGATATCCATCGGAATTGCAGAGCTCTCTGGGTAAAGACGAAGAGTTCCACCATGCTTAAACATGAATTATTTTACGCAGTGATATCTGGGTATCTTTCGATTCTAGAAACCATCTGTACTTCCTGATCAAATTTGTTCACTTCTTATTAACCTACACTTAAACAAAACCACACCCGGTAGGGTTTGATTACAGCACGAGTGATACATATAAAATATATGCCTGAAGATAATGTGGTCAATAGCGTTCGATCACGATTTGATATGTGCAAGACCTTCGTCTCTAATTCAGGCCATCAGCACAAAACAGTTATTTAAACCATGAGATTTAGTTTTCCCAATTCAAGGTAGCAAATGTGAAGACAACTGTTAACAACATAAAATATTGGAAGGAAAGCTTCTGTTATTTCGAGATTTCATTAGAAAAGTAGATAATCTGATGAGACATCACCCTTGAGACCTTCGCACACAATTATCACAAACTTATGGATTTCACTATGATTCACCACGTTCGTATCCCAATCCTCGTTACAGTAATAGATTGCGGTGATGCACCTGCCGTCCTTCACCGGATTGTCTACATGCTTCACATATCGAGTGCCATTTCCAGGATAAATAGCGATCATGGCCTAAAAAAAGTAAAACGTCGCTTCCTTCACCTTGACTGATACAATTGTCATATCTAATATGAAGTAAGTATAAAGGAAGATTAGACTAAAAGAACCAAGTCTGCTAATGAGGAATAATAACGAAAAACAATCAGCATATTCTACTATGTAAAAGCTTCCACATTACTAATATTAAGAAAGTTTCAGCTAATAAAGTGGAGAGAAATCAAATAGGTTTAATATAGTTTTTCAGATTGTTCGCCTACACGAAGATGGTACAAGAACTTTTATTAGCCTACAATTTCGGGGTCTTCGCTTTCTTCAGAGTTGCGTTCGTCCAAGTCGATGGTCCATAGCTGGCCGTTGTTGCGATATGGATCTTAGATAAGGTTATAAAATGTCACCGCTGAGTGAAGTTCTTCATTCAAGCGGTGCTCCACTCCACTGGATTCGCCTCGATACGATAACGAACACCCACATCTAAGAACAAGCACCTGTGGACTATCAACTCAGTCCCGCTTTGAAGAAGAGGAATATGTCGAAACGTTGGGCGGATAAAAGTTTTTATGCCAAGCTCATGTTAGTTCAGTAATACGGAAAAATATTGAGCATTGTTGCCAACATTTGATGGAAGTTGATTTTTAGATTAGACTAAATCAATCACTAGTTTTCTAATTGTTTGCGGAATCCTAACTGCTACAAATCATACTGCTTACGGGGGCTAACACTTACATTAGGAGTTTTGACACAATGTTTGTAAACAATGGATTTTCCTACAATTTTCAACAAATTTATAGAAAAATTGCAGCCAAGGCTAAATATAGCGTTATGTGGAAATCTAATGTTTCGTAAATCTTTTTACCCTTGATCGACCACTGATGTCATACGGTGGAAGGCGTCCCTTGAAATGCTGAACAACACTGTCAATCATCGACACAAGAAGACGTACTGTAACAGCATCACTGGCACGCGGGTCAACACCATCAAACCAGTAGATCTGTAAGCGCCATTTAAAACGACGTATTAGAAACACAATCCCTCTATAGGGTTAGTCGTTGAGTCAAGATCATTTATGCTACGAAATAGAGTGATGTTTTCACTCAAACACTCAGATAGTGTTTAACGTTTTGTTTTCTGCCTTCTATAATTTTCATGGCAGGTTTCTAAGCGAAATACAACCACAACGTTGCTGAGATATTTGCAAAACTCTGGACCGCAGGTGTCTATGGTGGGGAACGAACGCGCTATTATCCTTTCCGGGGAGTATTAAAATTAAATTATTTTTTAAGTTCTAAGGTATATTAAAGTATTTTTAAATTAAAAAAATTATAGAAGGCAGAAAACAAAACGTTAAACATTGTGATTTCAACTACAGCCATAGCTTAACTGGGTTCTATGCCGATTTGCGCTCCCCAGATCAACCCCGCTGACGGGTGATTGCTGTGGCAAAAAGATCAATAGAAATAGCTGAGAGACGTGCGAAACAAAGGACCCGCATGGTGTGGTGGTGAACGCGTTACTCCCCGGAAAGGATAATAGCGCGTTCGTACCCCACCATAGACACCTGCGGTCCAGAGTTTTGCAAATATCTCAGCAACGTTGTGGTAACTCAGATAATGGTTGACATGTGCAAGGAATTGTTGTCAGCTCTAAGAAATCTAGACATTTTTCAAACGATCCATCGATAATCGTTTTTCACAGAAAGGTGTGATTTGAAATATATCCATAAGTTCCCAGGATCGACTTTCTATTAACCTCGGCATTGGAATATGAATGCGTCGTTTTCTTGTTCAGCAATCGCGAGGTTTGGTGATTGGATGAATTTGGGTACGATATACCTGTTTTCTCGTAATAATAGCGGAAATGAATATATTGGCGAAACGGACAGACCTTTGTGTACCCGTATAAAAGCAAACCTAGATGGAAAATGAAAGCTAAAACAAAGTACCCCATTAGGCGCGCGTAGGATACAAAAGCACGGCGGAGACGATTTTGAAATAAAAGCCAATATCCTTGCACTGGAGACTTAAACACCAGCGCGAAAACTCCTTGAGGCTTTTTGGATAAATGCCAAGAATCCTACAATGAATAGCAGGGACGAATGCCCGGAGGTCATACGCGACCTGATCCCGTATGTTCGCATCGATTTTTGATGTGGGATGGTGCAGTCGTCAACCACATGCGACCATAATCAGCTGTTCTAAACCTCCTCATTGGAAGTCACGAAAAAGCGGTGGGTTTTCCAAGAAGTTGTTGATCATATAATTACCAAAGAGTTCTTCGTCTTTTTGTAAGTGTTATTGAAGCGTTTGGCCTAGTAGATCGTATAACAGTATACCCTTCCAGGCTCTGAAGAAGGCGATACTGCCGAGACGTCAGCTACTGTTCTATTGCATTATGTTTCTCTATGGAAGTAAATGTATGCTCTTTAAAAACCTCGCGATTGCTGGACAAGAAAACGACGCATTTATATCCATAAGCATGCTGAAAAGACGGGCAAAAGTCGGAGTTTACAAGTGAGTTTCGAATCCCGTGATTACCCTTGCCGAAGGCTCACTTGCTATCTATCATGCTAACCGAGGCCCATGCCTTGCCATTCTCTCACCCCATGTTTCTACTCCACTTGGATTTGTGGTCCCCAGAAAAATTCCTGTTGATGGGTGATCGGTAATAGCACCGACAGAGAGAGAAACATGTCTGAAAGAAAAAAAACAGTTTCAGTGTCATATATTAAAAGCTTTCCTTTCCAACTTTCTCCTCATTTTTCTAAGATTTAAAATGAGAAAAGAAAACCATCAAACTCAGACTAAGTCATCTGAAATCGCTTTCTGTTCTACACATACCATCGAAAAATACACTGCTTAGACTCAAACTTTGGAATTCTCATAGGGCTAGAGGGCTCACAAAATTCCACCAGACCGTTCGGTAGGCTATTACGAGCAGAACAGCATTTAGCCTATGAAAGAACCCTTATTATGCAATTTAGTAATCTCATCTGGTTTCCCTCTAACATTGAACTCGAGATCAAAGAGGATCAATGCCATTAATTGTTAGTACACAATTGACGTTGAAGAAGGCAAAGTAAACCCAGCTGGAAAGCGCAATCCACAACGAGAATTACCTTACAAATTTTTTTTGAAGAATAGAATAAGAGTAGGAAACATTGAAAGAGGAAACATAAGGAAGATCAGGAAACTATAAGTGGAAAAACAGGATTTATCATACATGGCTAGACTTGCAAAATACGTCTTTATAGTGAAAATATGTTTTATGAGCAAGCGAAACACCATCAACAAACATGAGAGTCCTCTCATGACGTTTATGAGAAGATTGACCGTCAAAGCCAACGAAAATATGGTGGAGTATACCCAAGTATGCCAGCGCTCACAAGAAAAACTAAAAGATGTACGTGTTTCTGTTCCCTTTGATAACTTCAGGAAACGACTAAAGTAGACTTATCTGTTAAAGATGAGATCAGGAAACACAAAGGAATGAAAAATACGCTAAAATATATGCATAGTTAAGTAACTATTATAACGACAACGTTGTCGATACGGACAGCTGTACAAATCCTGGCAACAAAACGATTTCCTTCCACTTCAATCACCAACTGATGTATTACACTTTGTTATCGAAATCACGAAAAATGTCCGATATTGGATACATCTGGTTGAACTCCTCCTTCTTAGTAAAGCTCATAATGAAATACCTTTGCCAGAGTAAACCAACTAGCTATTGATAAGACATACTGAGACGCGGATTTGAAATACACATACCTGGTCAGATCTAATATCCTTCACATGGTATTCATCCTTGTTCCTGTCATCCATCAACTGACCAGCACTGAATAAACCGCGTTGGTAAAGGCATCTAACTTCTCTGAAAAGAACTCCATTATCCGTTCAGTTCCAAAAAGTGTAATCGAGTGAAATCCTCAAACTATTGCCGCCTCAAGTTAGACGTGAACAGTGAATATCACCTTGATTCAGTCTCTCCTTTTCCACTCTTCACTTCATACATTCCTTCCACATTTCTACATTAATTAGAGAACGTAAACAAATACTTCTTATAACAATTCTAAGGATTGAACAACACTAGATTTGTAGCCTACAAAGAAGAAATACGCACACGTAGCTCTTTACATGCAGAAGAAACTTGACAATATCGCCTTATCTTCCCATCCTTAGCTTTGGTCTCCAACATTTCATTATACTTATGCAATTTTTCCCAACAGCTCTATGTTGTTCTCACTCTTCCAGGATGTCCATTAGAAAAATTAAACTTTTTTCGCACGTGCAATAGTTATAACAAAGGTTAAGAACATTTAATTGTCCTTTAACATGGAAAGGTCGAACTGCCAAGTTTTGCCGAATTTGTGATCACAAACATCGAATCCGACATTGTTTTCCCTGCCGGATCTCAACAGTTCACACCCTTTCTAGGCATTAGGGAGCAAAGCAAAGATTTACGAAGTCAGTATCATCAAACTATAACTGTAATTCACAGGTCCGACTTTCTGCTAACTTTGGTATTGTTCAATAATGCTTTCCTTCCTTGATGAGCAGCTATGACATTGTTATTATACTACTTATTTATTAATTCTAGATGAAGTTTTAGCGAATTTCGCTTTCTTCACAGCCTGGAAAAGTAAAGTCAATTACAATGAATTAAGCTAAATATTTCCACAACCTCAGCAGAAAAATCCAGCGGCTAAATTTCAACCGCATTGGAAAAAATTTCTATTATAACTGTAAAGGAAGACACTGATGACCAACATTGGTGTAATGAATTCACGAACATGTTTTGACAGAGCCTCTCAACGGCCGCCTCATCGTGGCTGGGAGGTGTTCCTGGGTGTCGGACTGCGGTGGACAGCGGGGGATTCGTCCTCCACAGGGTCTCCCAAGCTGAGAAGGAGTCCGGCGTTTCTACCATGAAGCCTTGCTAAGAGTAAACCAATACCAGAACCCGCCACCGTCCTGGTATCAAAATCGCATGGTGGCAAATCTCCCTCTGATCGACAAGGGTTGCGACCGCCTCTGGTGGTGAAGACCTGGGACAGACTTCGGCCAGGCTGACCTCGGAAATCCAGGGAACCACAATGGCTTAACCAGCAAATCTCCGATAAATGGTCATTAGGCTGTGGCCCGCACAACCAGTGAGGACGGGCTCTTCAAGTGTCAAGTGTCAAGTTTTGACAGAGTGCAGTTTTAGAAACCAACACAGTCTGGTTGACGGGTAGCCTAAGTGAGAATTCGGTAAAAACATGTTGTGCTTCACAGTTCAACACGCACGATCATCAGTGTTTTTGCAGACAGACTCTTCAATTTCACTTCACGTTCTCAATTAACAAAAATTAGATGTCGACAAAGCTTTTATGATAGGCTCGTTCGTTATAATTTCCTCAATAAGCCATTATGACATCCGAGCAATACTTTCAAGCTTTAATTTGAAAATGAGAAAAGATAAAGCATGACTACGGGGATATTGGAAATTGCTGTCAAACTAAACATAAAATTTGAGACTGAAATAGCGAATCTGCACAAAAACCGAACATGAAATGTTAAGGACTTAAGTGAATTTAACCATAACGATGCTGGGATATTTGTAAAACACCGGAAAACGGGTTGCCTATACCTCCAACTACGCATGCATAGGAGGAGCCACTACCAAAAAGTGGAGATAATTTGCTGACCCCTTAGAAGAAAATAGCAAAACATCGTTCACGTCTATAAAAAAATGCAAACTTGAACAGGGCTAGATGCAGAAAATGTGGGAAACGTTTCTGCCTAGATGGAGGCGATATTTCAGCGCCGTCCATACAAGAAACAATTTCTTGGCACCTCTGCCAACGGAGATAACTCAGAGAATAACATAACATCCTCTTCACCAGCAACTGTCTTCCCAGTAAACTGCTGCTGCAATCTAATGAAGTGGAAACTGGTTCCAATATATTTGCAACCACTCCAGCCATTCAATGAAACCAGCGAAATATTTGGTTTTTCAAATTTAAACTGGTATATTTCATCTCACAACGAACTCTATTAATTTAACTCGTATGAAGTGCTGAGATATCTACAAAACTCCGGACCACAGGTGTATGCAGTGGAGAACGAACACGCGCTGTTGTCCTTACTGGGGAGCAGCGCACTTCACCACTACACCATCCGGTCTATTAATTTAAATGAAATCCATCACTATCTGCATATTTTTGCAAGAAAAAAACATACGCAATTTTACACACTCTACCAGATAGAGTTCCAATTTGGCGGAGCCTATGAGTAATTTTTTTCTCCGCCTCTTCGTCAAGACGCATGTTATTTGAGCAGCGGAGCGACTGGACGTGCGGAATTTTGTTGTGAAAAATTGTTTTATTGGTTTTTCTGCTTAATGATCCGGTTAGCTGTCGGAGCATCTGTTAGTTTATATATAGAAGCTAAAAGGTCTCGGCGTTGATCAGTCCCTGAGGGATGCGCCATGCATTCGACTTCATCAAGTAATTTTATTGAATGTGATGTTGGAGGTGATTGAATGCATATCTGGCCTTTACAGTGACTAGTGGTGGCCTACCGATGTATCGAGCCAGTGCTGCTATCCTCCTAGACAAGTCTGATACCAATTTGCCAACCCCGAGGGGGTCATGGGCACAGGGATTCTTTCCACGTGCGTGTCGCAGTGGCGCCTCCAATTACTGCACCACACGCGCCTATAGCCGATATATATATATATATATATATATATATATATGTACATACATAGATATGGACGTGTACACATATATATACATATGCATACATATATATATATATATATATATATATATATATATATATATATATA